GTTACTGTATAATTTTTTCAATACCACCTTTTCTTAAGAAATGGATCTTTCATATCTTTCTTGTAATTTAGTACTTTATTGGTTAGTGTTTTTTTTTGTTGTTGCATTTTCTTTTTTTTCTTTTTTTCTTAGTTAATTAATATATTAGTTTTTTTTTTTTTTTAGCTGATCAATGCTACTGTGTTTTTTTAATGCATAATTTTTCATTATCACCTTTTCTTAGCATTTTTAGCATCTTGTTTTTTAAAAAAAAATAGTCTTTTGGCATATGCTTATATTATTGCTTAGTTAGTTGCAGTGTCTTATTTTTTTTTTAGCTTGTCAACACAACTTAAACATTATGAAAGATGTGTCTATAGTATTATTTCTACAAATACTTTGGTTTTGTCTGTTATTTCTAAATCTATTTATTATAATTTTAGATATAATTTCTGCAAAATCTATGAGTGATTTTTTGATAGATCTAGAAACAAAAAATAATATAAGTGTAGAGTTAGTAGCTGGTGAAATGTTTGAAGCAACAAATTTAGTTATAGAAATAGAATTAGATAATGAACAGGATATTTAACTTTCAGTGGCTGCTTCTTACTCTTCATGGGAGTTAGCTGAATCACACCTAAAAATTTATACTAAAGCCATTAGCTTCACTTTGCATTGAAAATAGTTAGTAACTGATCAAGATGGTGAAGTTTAACAATATACATTTGAATATTTATATTCTGGCAAAGCAATTAGTAATAAGGTTATTGATATTTCTAAACAATGTGATAGGGATTTAGAAAAAGTTTTATATTCATAGTATATAAACCTATCTAAGCCAAAATCATCTCCAGTTGTATCTATTACAAATATAGTAGAAACACATAATCATCTAATGCAACTGGACATTGCTTTATATGCATCACAATATAGATGGTTGTCTCTTGAAATTCTAAAAAAAATAGAATTTTATATTTTGAAAGGGAATATAGAATCTAAACAAATATTATCTCTCTTAACAGCACAATTTCTTTATAATACAATCTATAAACATGATCTTTATAATACTGTTCAAAGGTTAAGAAGGCTGCTTAATTAACATAATAGAGAAGCACAGCAATTTATTAATTATTTGTTACAACTTAGAATCAGGATCCGGATTGGATTGTTTATATTCGTTTGGATCCATATAATAATCAGTTATTAGAGTTATTTTGGATGTCACCAATGCAACAACTTTTGATCCATTATATTGATGTTGTTCAAACTGATAATACATGTCAAACCAATTGATTTGAAATGTATCTTATACTTATAGTAGTTATTAATAATAATCCAAGGTCATGTTTAGTAGCTCAAGCATTGTGCGATGATGAAACTATAGAATTATATGAATTTTAGTCGAGTATTTAATGGATGCAACTAATAATATATCTCCAATTGTTTGTTTTCTAATGCGAAGCCTGCTTTAAGTAGTGCTATTGTTCTAAAATTACTTCAAACACATCACTTTTTATGTAATTTTCATATTTAGGAGAATATCTGTAAAAATTTGCAAAGTAAACTTGGCCAGCAGTTTGACGAGATTTATAAGAAATTTTTATATACACGAAATAGTATATTTGAAGAAGATTTTTATAGAAAGTAGACATGTTTATTAAATATATACTCTTAAATACAAAGTTACTTTGATAGTACTTTGCAAGGTTGTATAAAATCATAAGCTCAGTGCTATCAATTAAAATTTTTTACAGCAGATATCTAGAGTACTCAATGTATTGAAGTAATGAACTGTCTAATTAAAGAAGTCATCAAAAGACATCCTCTTTACAAAACCTTTATCATCATATACAAAATCTCTTAAATAATGAAGCAAACTGGGCATGACATAATAATTACTTAATTCTCTTTCTACATATCAAGCACTGTCAATCATTGAATCAATATTTTCAAAAGTTTTAGATATATTAAAACAATATTTAACACCTTATATATTAGCTATACAATATCGGCAAATTATTAGATCTCTTTTATATCATGCGCAACTATGTTCTAAGAAAATATTCAAGAATTTCAGGTTAAATAATTTTTATTGTGCTTTGTTTAATTAATACACTAGACAAAATTAATCAATTTGACATATCAAATTTTTTTAATTTTAACTAGTGATAATTTATATTTCAAAATTGTTTTTTTTTTAGAAAAGCTAGTTAGATTATAAAGATGGTTTTTTGAAGAATTAACTTAATAGACTGCAAATATCTATTATGGCTCTTATAAAGAATATTGATTCAAATGACATAATTGAGATCTGAGAGCTGATTGGAGTATCAATGACTTACAAGCATTATATTGTACTGTTGAGTGATGGTGGGTATTTATGTATATGTATGGCTCTTATAAATTGTATATTATATATGTCATTTTTTTCAAGTAATGATGAACACT